TATTTGAATATACAAATTTAAGGAAAATAAAATAATTTTTGCATAAAATAATGATTTGCATGTTCGTGGCGTAATGAACATATTTTTTTAACAGTTTGCATGCACTGCTATCCAAAATTGTTTATGTTTTTGTGTACAATGTAAAATGTATGTAATTATGTATATGTATTTTTGTTATGTGTTGTATAATTGTTGAATTCACTGTATAATTGCAATGTTTATACATATATAGGAAAAAAATAGTAAATTAATTGTACATTGTACAAAATAGTTAAAACTCTTAGATTGTTTTTTTTACTGTTTACCATATTTTTTAATACAATATGAGCTGCACGTGTTGAATTATTTGTCTAATTCCACACGGGGGGGTTGGGCGGATATATTTAAAATTAGATCAGGATCTTGCCCAAGTCAGTTGCTACAAGTGGGAGCTACACAGGAATTAAATGCTTCAAACAACCATCATCGTTTGTGTCCAGGCTCTGTCCAAGGACATGTCACATCTTCACAAAGACTAAAATACAAGGAGAGACCATCTTTACCGGTCTCGATCCTCCAGAGGTTAGTTATTGAAATTATATGTCTGACAAATAAAGTGACTGAAAATTAACATCTATAGTAAAATGTATTTATCTTGATATATTTGTCCAGCTCATATAGAAAACGGAAATTGTATTTAGTCTTTTATAATAAAATATGTACATAATAATTGTGTGATGCATATGTTTAACTGAATTAACATTTGCAATTAGATGTATAATAATGCTATATATACATATAGGTAAGTATGATGATAAATATTGCAAAAATTAGAAAATATGTGTTACAAATGCTTGATTGTGTTGATGGCATTAAAATATATTTCATTCCTATTTTTCAGTTGCGTTTTCGTAGTTGTTATTGTTCTTTCAAATTATGGATTTTATCAAACATTTGCTTGTTGATTGAGTATGTGTGCATTTAATGCATAATCATTACATAAAGTTAACGAATTTCTTGAAACTATTACAATTCTACTTTTATTTTTATCATTAATATTCACAGATCTAACGAATCGGGTGGAATGGCATGTACACCGATGGGAAATCATCACCGTAAGAGTAACTCATTAGATGCTGGTATGGGAAAACAAACGAAGCAACAACCCACACGCGAACGGTAAAAATTATCACTTAAATCATTTTGTATTTTTATTTTTTATCTAATTATTAATATTTTTTTCCTTCAGCGAGCGAGTATACAGATTTCGTTGTATTGTGCCATATCCACCTAATAGCGAGTTTGAACTTGAACTTCGAGTAGGAGATATTATTTATGTACACAAAAAACGCGATGATGGCTGGTACAAAGGCACTCAACAAAGAACTGGTCGTACAGGCCTTTTCCCGGCAAGTTTTGTCGAAGCTTTCTGAGATACAGCGCAAAACCATTTCGTATTAGAAACTTGTATATAATACTGCACGAGCTGATGGTGACATATTGCACATCAATTTTCAGGTTTATTAAAGGTATAATCATTAATATGAAGGTAAGTGTACTAAATGTACTAAATAGTACAGTAAACATATACTTGTATGTTACATGTAGTATGTTTATATGGTTTTATTATGATTATAACATAAAGAATTTTTTTAATTATGCAATGAATGAAATATAGTGAAATTGTCCAAAATGGATACTGCCATTGATATTATATTCAACAGAAATTATTAAAGCAATTAAGGAAGTAAGAGATTATATTACAACAATACTGCCATTTGAACAAACATAATTACAGAAAAATGTATTATTACTGTCTTTTTTTACTAATATAAGATCAGTTTCATAATTCATAGTACAGGAAGAGGTCTATGAAATTATTTTATTTACATTTTAAGTTTTTGTTCACGTATAGTAATATTTTAAGATCAGATAATTTGAATTTTCATGAAGCTTAAATTATTATTAAATATATTATCGCATACTCTTTTTGCAATTTTATACAAGCAATTGTTGCTTAAATACCAGTTTGAAAAAAAATAACGGGATTACTGTTAAGATTTTGTTTAATTTCTTTGAATTGTTGCATTTAAAAAATTTATATGATATATTTTATGATGTTATTGAAGTTGTATGAACATAAAAAATTATATCATTTTTTATATTAGTATGATCAGCTTTGACAAACGTTTCCTTTTATAGACATTTTTCTTAGAAAAATATAGTAATTCGTATTATATAGAAAAATGTAAAACATTTCACTATGAAGTGTGTCTTATATTGTATATTAATATATCTTTTTTTTATGTAAAAATATACATATGTGAGATTATGTAATGATTTGAAATTTTACGATGTTGGTTTTGCTAAATATATGATTGGCTATATCAGACTGGCCTATATTTCCGCATAATTGTAGACATTTAGTTAAATAGATTTTAACAAAAAAGGTGAACTATAACATTAATACTTGTAGTAACATCAATTGTATATCTGTACTGTACAACTGAATGTGTATGTTTTTCTTATTTACGAGGTATTTAAACATTCAAACATAGTAAGAAATTATTAAGGTGAATTAATGAGCTTCCCAAGGCTGAATAATAATCAATATTTGGTTAAATTTGTTATTTTCCTGTAGGAGATGCTATGCTAATATGAATTATGTATAAACATCTGCCGAAAACATTTTTTTATTAACGTTATTTTATCATTTTTAATTATATTCATCTCAAAACAATGTTTATCATTCATAGAATAAGTCTGATTGCGTGTTATTTTTCTATATATGTTATAATTTATTTAATTTATGTATCTGTGTCAAGAACATTATAAAAAAGTGTTTTATAAATCTTTATTATTATACTGATGTATTCAGTGGAAACAACATCAAGGTCGTGAAATCAGTCAGGCGTTAAATTATGTTTACGCGTGTTTCGAATACTAAAATAACAATTTGAGTCACATATATAGAGATAAGAAGTTCGAACTGAATTCAAAATCATACGATATAAACTCAGAATTACGTTTTTCTTTGTAATATATTTAACAAAATATATATTATGCAGTTTGAGAAGCAGATTCTAAAAATACATAATTTATTACCTTTTATACAGTGCAATGATTCTTGCTGATTATATAAAATGCTACTACATGAACCTGTGTCACCTTTTAATATTTTAATATATGACCTCGTTATATCGTTTCTACTGACTACATATATGTATATGTGCATAGCACATACAGACGCACATACAATATATGAATAGGGTAACAGAGGAAGAAATAACGAAAATATTTGATTTAGTGATTCAAAAATCACTAAGAATATAAAATTTAAATCTACTAAATTTTAGAAACATAGTTCTAGACTTATGGAGAAAATACTGACTATAAAAATTTCATATGTGTTTGTTTTTCTAATATATAAATTACCTTCTCTCTTCCTCTGATGTTATAAAAAATATATCTTCGTATTTAGTAGTATACACCATATAAAATGTATTTATATGTAGGTGTTTTATATAACATGGAATTAAGTAACTTATTAGTAGCGATAATATCTTATAAAACAAATAATACTTCATTATGGCAGGTAAATTTCAAATAGTAATGCAAACAGTAATAATATACATTGATGTATGTGGTAATGAAAATATTGAAATTTACAAATGATATGATTTGTTGAACTTTATTCATTTTTAATTTAAAGCGTAATTTGAATTACATTCTGAAATAAGTACAGTAATATGAATATAGTTTAGAATTGTAAATAAAATACGACTCAAAAAAAAAATTAAACTCAGTTTTCATGTCATATGATTATTTTATAAACTAAAATTGAGAGCAGTAGAATGTTATTTAAAATTCATATCTTGCATCCAAGTTTAAGTAATTTATACATATAGTAATCAAGTGTTTCTCAATAATTGTTAAATTTGATATAATATTTTTGTCTTCCTTTCAAAATAATAACTATATTTGATTGTTGTTTACTAATTGCCTAGTATTTAGTCATTTTTATTTTAAAATAAAATTATATTATATCAAATTTATCTTCATATTATGCTCCGTATCATAGAATTAACATTTAAGTAACATTTAAGTTAAATATAAAAAGTATAATAAAAAAGCACTATATGCTACTGAAAAATGTATTTATGAGTGATTTCTTCCCTATGGTAGCATTGTATTTTACTACTTTTCAATACTTACAAATTTTATTGTTATATTTCATATGATAATTTAATTATATTAATATCACTAAAATATGATAAGAAATACAAATCACATTTAAAACACTAATAATAATATCATTATACTATTTTAATATATATTCATGTTTGATTATTAAAAAATATTATTAAAATAGAAAAAATTGTTTTTTACAGATTAAATTTGTAAAAAAGATAGATAAAGTTTTTACCGCTTATTATGTCCAAAGTTAACAACAACAGTTCAAGATAATTTATTAATATCCCAATGGCAATAAATTACATAAAGTTTACATTATTATGAATTATGAAGTATAGAATATGAAATAAATTCGAATTATATGAATTTTTTATGTTAAAAATACTTTCGAAAATATCAATGCGTACAAGTCAATAATTTATTGTAAAATCCATTTTTTATTTTTAAATGATCTGACATTGACCAAGCTATATAATTGTGGGAGAACACATATGTGATTCAGTGTGTAGCCGCGGCTGTCCAATGATTGTTAATTATTAAGCGAGTGTAAGTTCTCTTTTCTCCAACTCTTCTTTTAACATATATATTAATAAAATCCAGTTAGAATAAAATTTTTCAAAATTAAAACATAATAATTAATTACAGTAATTGACATAATCTTATTATTCTTATCTACGTTTTTCGATATTTGTAATTTAATTAAATATATCAATGTGACATTAAATTGTTTTATAAACATTAAGAGTTATTTCAAACTTCTATTTCTTCTCAAAATAAGCAACATTATTACATATGAACTATGACATTGAATGTTACATTTCAATTATTTTTATAAACATAATGCTCGTGAAAAGATTATTCTCGATTAAATACGCAAATTACGATCTACATAAATTACACAAGTGCAGGTATACATTTGCGCATGTGTGTATACGCAAGAAAAATGTGGACTTTAAACTTTAAAACAAATGAAAAGAAGATATATGTATATATACACATACAGGGTGTTAATTTGAAAACATAAATGACATTTGATATTCGCGGTTAGTAACCGATTTGCATGTATTCATATATGCATTGAATAAAAGAGAATCAGATCAAAGAAACACAAGCAATTTAGTATACTGGCAAAAGATAATGTCAGATGGGTCAATTGCTTTTAATTTAAGGTCAGGTTGTATTTTGTCTTTTAGTCACTTTTATTGATATACATATAATACAAAACAATAGTAAAATAATTAAAATGTATATAAGACAAACATTCTATAACTGCTAACCTCTAATTTTTAGATATGTTGTAATTAAATATATATTTCATACTATATACATTTTCATTAACCTAATTAAAGTCTTAATTCGCTTTTATAAACTATTTAACAAATTAAAAAGTTTCAATATTGTATTACTATTATTAGAAATCTCCATCAAATCTTTGGACTACAGCATAAAGTGTATTTTAATTAGCAATAATGATAGTTGGGAGGATGTTATTACCTACTCTTGCCAGAACAAGATTGACTTCCTATGCAAGACCACAATTGTTAAAGCAGAGACAAGATTTGGTAATATTTACTCATTACTTTCTTGATTTACTTCTATAACATTCTATATTTTAATAAATTTTCTTTTCTTAGACTTTATTTCTATTAGTATGTAAATTATCAAACTATCATATTACAAAAAATATTGAATATATTTCACAAAATAATGTAATTAGAAATGGTACAGCTGTACAGAATTTTAATAACGAGGAGAATAAACCTCTATTAGTTTTACTTAGTTGGTTGTTACCAAAACGTAAACATGTTCTGAAATATGCAGATTTGTATTTGGAACAAGGGTTTGATGTCGTGATAGTATCAATTACTCCTTGGCAACTATTATGGCCCACAAAAGGATCTAGGGTAAATACATGAAATATAAACTATAATACGTGTTACATTAATATTCATAACATATAATTTAATTTGTAAAAGTTTTCTTTTAGCTGGTTGCAGCAGACTTGATAGAGTTTTTGATAAAACATCAGAATTATCAACAAATACTATTGCATGGATTTTCAGTAGCTGGATATATGTGGGGAGAAGTATTGGATTTAATGCAGAATGACCCTAAAAAGTGTAACAATATAATTGATAGGATTGTTGGTCAAGTATGGGATAGTTTGGCTGATGTGAGTGAATTAACAATAGGTGCACCACGTGCTATGTTTCCAAGAAATGAAATGCTACAAAATATGTGCCAGAAGTATTTAGAGTAAGTTTATTTTTAATATTAATTTCATTTATATTTCCTAAAATATTTCAATTTGAATTATATGCACTAAAACAATTTACACAGATATCATATGAAAACTTTTTATAAACCATCTACTCAGTATTATATAAGATCTAGTCAATTGTTTCATACAAATTTAGTGCATAGTCCAGCATTATTTTTTATAAGTAAAACAGACCCAGTGGGTTCATTAACAAGTAATCTAAGAGTGAAAGAAAGCTGGGATTCTTTGGGTGTAAAGGTAAGATGTGTAAATGTAAAAAATAATTACAGGTATGTAAATTACAAAATAGTAGAGAAATATTTATATTCTTTTCAGATTTATGTTAAGATATTTGAAAATTCCCCACATGTTGAACATTATCGTAAATACCCAAAAGAATATGTTGCAGAACTGTATGCGTTTTTGAATAAATTAAATTTGATGCAAAATAAAAAGAAAATGGCACAATTTTAAATGTGCCATATGACGTCTTATTACTTATATTCTTAAAAGATATTCAAAACAGTATATTTACGAAATATGTAGTTCTTTAATGTAGATTTTGATACAAATTTTTATATATAAATCAAAGCAAATTATTTATAATCAATTGAAACTTTTTTTTAACCAGTCTCAGCTGTGAACTTCATCATCTGTAAGTAAAAACACATGTTTCTGTGCAATAATATAAAAAGTATAATCAATTTTATAGCAAGAAACAAAGAAGTGTTCATTTAAACAGGTATAGTAAAAGGAAAGAGGTACTTTGTGAACTACATATTTTATAATAGTTTTAAACTTATTTGATGAATTCCGTCTTTAGCAATCATATGTACATGAATACTTATTTTTTTTTTACAGTAACTATTTTTTAACCATGATGCTAATTGCAACTTATATAGTACGCAAGAAAAATGTGTGTTTTATGCATTGAATGTTAGTATGCCATTACAAAAATGGTTATTCGTAATATGTTACTTATTATACAATGTATACTTTTAAATACAAAAAAATTTGAGTTAATTAAATTTTATTTCTATAATGCAGATTTTCATCAGTTTTCTGTTTCTTCTTTAATTTATCACGTTTTTTTTGTTCTAATATTTCCTCAATCTCATCCGGATCCTTCCCTTCTAGAATAAGTTTCTTGCGTTTATTGATCATTTTTTTGCCATAAAAGTCCATCTCGTCTAATTTCATTTCCGCTTCTCGCTTGGCAACAGATATTTGTGTCAAAATTGTAACTATTTCCTTATCTAAATACAAAAAAAGTTATATTAATATATTCTGTGTACATTTCTTTTGTAAAATAGTAGAGCTAAAAATGTATTACCATTAACTTTATATTCTGTAAGTTTTGTACCAATAGCATTTTCAATTGCGTGTAATAATTTAATATCATGTGGAGTTATTAGGGTAATTGCCATGCCATTTTTGCCTGCCCTAGCTGTTCTTCCAACTCTATGAATGTACTCTTTTGTTACATTTGGTATAATATGATTTATAACTAACTCAACTGTAGGAATATCTAAACCTCTTGCTGCGACATCTGTAGCTATTAAAATTTTTGCATGATTGGACTTAAATTGAGTAAGTGCAGCAAGGCGATCTTTTTGTTTTATCATTGCATGTAGAGCTACATTGTTAAATCCAACGTCATTTAATGTCATGGATAATACTTGACAATGTCTAAAAAATACAATGTACAACAAAGCATTAAGAATGTTTATGTCTATATCAAGTATTATATGTATACAATTTCACTTTACTTGCAAGTATCTGTAAATATCATTATAGACCCATCTTTATTACTTGCTCTAAAGGTTCTAATTGCTTCTACTAAAAAGGAATCACGTACATCACTTGGACAAAGTACGTAACGTTGATCAAGTTCTTTCACTGTTGCTACACCAAACTCATCTTTAGATTCCCATATAAAAGCCTTTAAAAATAATTTCAGCTCTATGTTCATTCTACTATTCCTTGTTCATTTTTTCAAATATTTACAGAATTTTATAATACCTTACTAGATGCTATGTGTTTCACTTTGTCAAGGGTATCTGTCATTGTTGCACTAAAAAGAAGCATTTGCTTCCGTTTAGGTAAAGCCTCAAATATAGTTTTTAACTGATCATCAAAGTGACCTTCTAAAAGTCTATCAGCTTCATCTAAAACTAAAAATTTAATTTGCTTTAAAGAAAATGTATTACAACTTTCAAGGTGGTCTGCTAAACGTCCTGGAGTTGCAACAACTATATGTGGATGTTTTGATAACTCTAGCCCTTGTACAACCATATCCATTCCACCAACAATTACACATTTTTTTAAACCAATGGATTTTCCTATTGCTGAAAATTGATCTGCAATCTGTAAAGAAAAGGTTTTATCAAAAATAAAAAAAAAACAAATATAAATATCTGTTTTAAAAGGTTAAAGTGTTTAATATACTTGGAAAGCAAGTTCTCTAGTTGGTGTTAGAACAAGTGCAAATATGCCATATGGATCTTCAGATAATTTTTGTAATATAGGAAGTGCAAAGGCAAGTGTTTTACCACTGCCAGTTTTTGCACAACCAATACAATCATCACCAGCTAGAATTTTTGGGATACAATTTTTCTGGATTGGTGTAGGACATTTTAAACCTACAATAAATAATAATAACATAACAACTTTCTTTATCTTTCAAGCCCATTATTTAAATTCTTACCCATAAAATTACATTGTTGAACAAGCCATGAACTTAAATTTAATGCAGCAAATGACATGGTTGTTTTTGACTTTTGTATAGGTTAACACGTGGAATGCTTTGATTAATAGAACATAATGGTTTTGTAAAAGTTAATTTTAATAAAGATTCAATTTAAATAAGGGATATATTATTAACGGGAATTAAAAGGAATTATTTATTATAAAATGAGTTACATTTCATTAAATAATTTTATATATGCGTTCTAAAAGATATTTTTAGAAGGTATATTACACAAGGGACTAAACCACTCAAACGATTTTCCTGTTTGATTAGTGCTTGATTAAATGCATTATACATTAGTTTATTATTTTTTTATCTTATAACATTTTACAATTAACTTAATAGTATTAGTAAGAATATTAATTTAATCTCTATATTAACATCAATATTTTAGTATTAATTATTATTATGATTAGTACTAATAATAATAATGTAATCGGTAGCAAGTACACGTGTACTAGTCTTAAATTTCATTTTTGGAACGAGTAGTTTCCGCTACATGCTCTTATAAACACCAATTTTATTAGTACATTTTGAGAGTAGATAGAATAAAATAAAAATCATGGGATTGTATGTTTTTATACTTACGAGTATTTTTAAAATAATAGATTTTCATAAATCATTAATAAAGTTAATAAAATAAGTATCCTGTATCTCGTCTGTCTAGAGCCTAGAGCGGTATTTAATCTTTTCATGATGCGGCACCTTGTTTGTCATATTATTTACGTGTAGTCCATTCACAATTTTTAGTAATGGAAAATTATTATTTTATTATTATGTATTAAATATTAATAAATATTATTGTTTTTTAACCTTTTACGAGGACATTGCGATTTTTGGAGATACGTGAATCAGAGATAAAAATCGCTGGTCTAAAATCTTCAGGGCTATTGGATATAACAATACATTGGATGTTAAACCTATGCTCTGGATCTCGTCTTTGAAAGAAACAAATTATTTTTAAAATAAATAAATATGATAAGAACAAAAATAGTTGAATTGGATTTAAAAGGTATTATATTATAAGCAACAAATAGAAAGCTATACTATTTGTTTTTGTATGGTTCATTTTACGTACAAGCCTATCCAATTAATGTTTCAAAGTTGTGACACGTGACAAAAGTTTAATATACTTTTACGTTTACTTATTAAATAATAACAAATGGCATATGTTATTATCGTTATTATTATTATTATTATTATTGTTGTTATTATTATATTAGGTTACGCAATTCATTTATTATCATACCTTAATTTGTAGAAAATAATAATTATAATATACATTTCTATATGTTTCTTTCGATCAATAAAGATAATACAATTACAATAATGATAATAATACATTTACAGGGTACGCCAAGGCTATAAATTCTTTGAATTATTGAAACTAAATCTTAAGCTCTAATTTACAATTAAAGTTACTTTTCAACATGTACATAAGTGTTACGTACGGTAGTTATCGTAGGATTGCACTTTGTAATTATATAATTTAAGAACAACAAGTACTAAATTTAAAGAGGAAAGTAACGATGCTATTTAACTATGCGATTTTATAATGGCAGTGAGAAAAAAGCTGCCCATAACGGAAAGCAAAGAACGTTTCTATACTATGCAAAAAGAAGAAACCACAGTTAACATAGGAGACATTGTTCACGTCTCTGTGTATGTTCGTGAACGTACGTTCATTTCTACACATTTGAAAACATAAGAATTTATTTATGTTCGATGCACATTTTGATCTGACATCGATAGAAACTTCCTATGCCTTCCCCCGCTTATTAAAGATAGGTGCTAAAATTCGATTTAACGAATCGCTATGGATTAATCAGTTTTTTTTTTCTTAATACAGTTCCTATACTTTTCAGTCACAAAAAATATGCGTATTTAAATAATCGTCGCTAAAATTTTGACAATAACATTTTTTTCCAGTTTATAACGCAGTGATGTTGCATTAACATTACTAGTAAAAAGTATACATTATTATTTTATATATACTACTAGCTTTTATACATATATTGATGAAAATCCGAATTAACGCGAATTTTCCTTCATCTTAAAGGATGAAATACACAATTTCAAATCCTCACCAATCTGAAATGCTAAAAATCAATTTTGCCGATTCTCTTCTCTTCGTTTTACAATAGACAGGTTCTGCTATTTTACAAATCTAGAAATACATGTAGTACGATTTAATAATAATTCGGTCAATGCGATTGGATAATTCGCTAAAATCTTAGAGGAAAACAGTTACTACGATGCTACGTTAGAACAAGAATATTTAATAGAATAATATAGTAGGTTTATCACAAATTTTATATTATATCATAGATCGATTACCGGGCATATTATCGAGGAAAATTACATCTTATTTTATACGATTAAGTCCAAAAGACATAACGTTCTCACATTAATTAAATGCTCTATTACACAATGGAGGAATAGTCGTCGCTGTCAATTAATTTGACGATGTATTCATTTTTAACTGGATTTTTCAAACACAATTTCTTTTTCATACATTATCATATTGATCAAATACTGAATTTTATAACTGGTACTTCTTTTGTTCTATTTGAAAGCTTTATTTTCTTGTCGCCGCGTGCATCCTATTAATAAACACAGAACATAAAAGAAATACACACCTATGCAATACAAAATGTACAGTAATATACTTGCAACAAATTTGTATAGCTACAATTATAACAATTTGTTAGATGAAAATTTAAGGATAAATGATAAAGAAATGTTATGATATTCATTAATGAACAGCGTATGATCAATCTCAATTTACTAATGTTAGTCGCTGTATTTTGCCGCGTCTTAAGTGTATTTCAATTTTCTTCAAAATATTCATTTAACAATCATTACCAGGAAATATAACAAGGAAAATGTATGAAAACCAAAACTTACAGTTAACATATATATGGAATAAAAAGAGCACATCTAGTTAACATTTAATACACTAATAAGATTAATGTTAATAACCTGTATGA